GCCTTGTGAACACTTCCTTGAACTCTGCTATGGTTTATACCAGTCTATCTTATTATGGAGAGGAGATGAAAAACGATGAGATGGAGAGCGTTTTCTAGAAGCTAACCTCAGGATCTGAACAGCAATCATGTGGCTGAGTGGAGTTAAGCATTGTTTAACGTCTTCACCTTCTATTTCTACAGAATCGGAAGCTATCACACGCTTTAGAGAGAAAAGCAACTCTGTCAAAGAGATGGCAGTCATGCTTCAATTCTGATGGAAGCATTTTTTTTAATGAATTCTTCAAAGATTTTGCTCGGTATGTTTAGAGGGTATGGGGGTGGGGTACGGCAAGCAAGGCACGTTTATTAGATACTCAAAACCTGCGAATACACCTGGAGCCACTGCACTATTACAGCTGTAGCTCCAGGGCTTGAGTGGTCCCCTAGAGTTATACCCCAAACACCAGGATGGATGTTGGTGAGGGCATGACAGATTCTAAGTGTGAGGCAGTGTGAAGCCACCCTGGCACATTACCATGTCCAAGTTCGGCAAGACTCTGTACATCCATCTTGGAAGACGGGGGTCCCAGGAGAGGATGGCGGGACTGGCATTTTTTTTTCTCCCTCATTCCCGCGTTTCCAGTGCATAATTGCCTACCACAGTGCTTGGGGTACAACACCTTTTTTAAAAATAGATTTTTATTTCCTATGCAAATTGGCTGTGTATCTACTTATGTGACGGAGGGTTTTTCATTTGCTTGTTTTGCTTTGTTTACAGTTTTCGGCCTCACCCTGTGGCATTCGTTCCCTGAAACTACAGCCCCTGTATTGGAAGGTAGAGTCTTTACCAGTGGACCTCTGAGGAAGTCCCAGGATAATACATTTTTAACAGTGTTTCATTGAATGAAATGAACTAAATTCAGTGCCAGTTCTATCATTAGATCACTGTGTAACTCTAGTTGAGACATGTCATCTAAAGCAGGGAAGGAAACAATACCTCATGCGGCAACTCCAAGAATGAAGAGAAAATCAATGTGAACCCACATTGTGTACTTCTAAAGCTCTATGAATAAATGTCTATACGATTAAAGTATTCCCTTTCTGGCTTTGTCTCCAATATACCCAGATGGTAATTTAGGTAGATTTAGGTAGAAATTAGGTGGATTTAGGTAGAAAAAGCAGAACCAGATTTTCTTTTTCTTTCTCATTGATTATTCTTCTATTTTAATGGATTGTTTCCTTTCTTTTATGTTTTTGATGATATTTACAATCTAGCAGTCCTTTTTTTTTCCATCTTGTTAAACATTCTTGGAGTGTTTTCATTCTATTAGTAATTAATTTCTTTTTTTACATTTAAAATCAAATATTTTTGTCCATTTATTTTATGGAATCAAGAAACTAATATGACCTATACCGTAACTCCCCCCTCTATTAAACTGACACCTTAGAAGCTTTTAAGTCATTCATCTTTCGACCTCTCCTTCAACTCTTAGTAATTTTAGCACCAAACAAGTATCAGATTTCTTTTTCCTTTGCTGCCTGTCTCTTCTATGTCAAAGATTCTTTGACTGTAAAACATATTTCTATTCAGTCTGTCATTAAATACTTTGGCTGAACTTAATATCCCTGGGTTTACCACTCACCACTGCTTCTCCACTATATTTCAGATTATTTTTTTCCTTCTGATTAGAAGCCTTGCCGAAACATTTCCTTCCAATATAGTGCATGGATGGCATTTTAATTGAGTCTCTGGACATCAACAAGCATTCTTCTTTCATGTTGAAAAGCTTGGTCACAGATCTGCTGTATTACTTTGGGAAAATTAATTTAACTCTGACTTAGATTTTCACCTGTAAAATGGGAATAACAGTAATAAGTATCTACCTTATAGAATTGGTGTGATGTTTAAATGAGATCATATGTCTGTGCATTTATGTGTAGAGAGAACACTTAGAATAATGGATGACACACAGAGGTCCTATAGAAGCACAAGCTTTGCTTAATCTTGCCAGGCATTTGATGAGTCCTTTCAATAAATTCAGGGCTTCCCTGGTGGCTCAGAGGTTAAAGAAAGCGTCTGCCTGCAGTGCAGGAGACCTGGGTTCGATCCCTGAGTTGGGAAGATCCCCTGGGAAAGGAAATGGCAACCCACACCAGTATTCTTGCCTGGAGAATCCCATGGAAGGAGGAGCCTGGTAGGCTACAGTCCATGGGGTCGCAAAGAGTCGGACACGACTGAGAGACTTCACTTGACTTCACTTCACTTCAATGAATTCATAATCAAACATTCTTCTTAAATCAGATTTTCTCTCCTATTTTATATTTCATTAATTTATCTTATCCATCTTTTACTTGTGCATGTGTTTTTTGCTTTCCTTTTGAATTTCTTCTTCATATTAGTATCCTCCTTAATCTTTGTTCTCGTATTTTTGTTATGTATTTTGACCTAGTAATGAATCTCAGCAGTCCCTCTTCTAAGCAATCAACTTAAAGGATTCAAATGAAAAACAATATTTTCAGTTCTGTAATTCAATCAACTTCAATGCGCTGCCTTTGTCTTCCAAATGCCATCTGCCTTGCCTTCAGAAGCAGCTGTTTCTTACCCCTTTCTCCCGGGATGCAGGATCTGCTTAGATGTTTGCTATTTCTTATTTGCTTACTCACTCTGCCCACCTATGAACATCCCTTAAGAAGCTTCAATTCCAGGGGATGCCCAGAAGCCCTTATCAGGCCAGGTGGTTAACAGGCTACTGTTCAAAAACAGGAATAATCCTTTTTTTCCCTGGTCTTGCCAGTTGCCAGCTCATGGCTTTACCAGCTTCCTAACCCAGGAAGGGCTCAGTCTGCTTCTTAAAGACTTCTGTAGGGTCTGGGGTGGTGCTCAGACACACTCGGCCAGCAGGCCCTGCCTTTCCTCTTCAACATGAATGGGTCTCCAGGGTGTAGGAAGCTCTTCAAATCCCTTAGATACAAGGGGAAAAGTTGTGCCTCCTTTACAACATAACAGAAAATGCTTCTTTGACAAGCATACATAGGCAGTTTTAAGCTGAAAACCTGAGTTTTACATAATCCTTTTCCTCAATTACTCATGGGCCCAATACAGTACCTAATGGCAAATGCTTACTAACCTTCCTTTAACTAAAGTGAAGACTATGCAATAGTTTAACATTTGCCTTGGTTCAAAACTGGGAAAGGAGTATGTCAAGACTGTGTATTGTCACTGTGCTTATTTAACTTACATGCAGAGTACATCATGTGAAATCCTGGGCTGGATGATGCACAAGTTGGAATCAGGCTTGCAGGGAGAAAATTCAATAACCTCAGATACATAGATGACACCACCCTTAAGGCAGAAAGTGAAGAGGAACTAAAGAGCTTCTTGATGAAAGTTAAAAAGGAGAGTGAAAAACCTGGCTAAAAACTCAACATGCAAAAAATGAAGTCCATGGTATCTCGTCCCATCACTTCATGGCAAATAGATGGGGAAACAATGGAACACAGTGACTTTATTTCCTTCGGCTCCAAAACCACAGCAGATGGTGACTGTAGCCATGAAATTAAAAGACCATTGCTCCTTGGAAGAAAAGTTGTGACCAACCTAGAAGGCATACTAAAAAGCAGAGGCATTACTTTGCCAGCAAATGTCCATCTAGTCAAAGCTATGGCTTTTTCAGTAGTTATGTATGGCTGTGACAGTTACACCATAAAGAAAGCTAAGTGCCAAAGAACTGATGCTTTTGAACTGTGGTGTTAGAGAAGACTCTTGAGAGTCCCTTGGACTGCAAGGAGATCAAACCAGGCAATCCTAAAGGAAATCAGTCCTGAATATTCATTGGAAGGACTGAATGTGAAGCTGAAACTCTAATACTTTGGCCACCTCATGAAAAGAACTGACTCATTTGAAAATACCCTGATGCTAGGAAAGATTGAGGGCAGGAGGAGAAGGGAATGACAGAGGATGAGATGGTTGGATGGCATCACCAACTCGATGGACGTGAGTTTGAGCAAGCTCTGGGAGTTGGTGATGGGTATAGAAGCCTTGCGTGCTTCAGTCCCATGAGGTCACAAAGAGTAGGACATGACTGAGTGACTGAACTGAACTGAACTGCCCTTAGGAAAAATTTAAACTCTTTCAGTTGCTTCCAAGATCCTAAATTACTTAGTCTCTACCCAATTTTTCAACCTACCACCATTCTCTTTGTTCTCTATAATCATCTTAATCTCATTTCAATGCACTGAATATGCCATGTTCACATCTTAACTGAGACACTGAATATTTGCTATTTGCTCTGCTTAGAAATTTTATTACAGCTCCTTCCCTCATCTCCTGTCAGTATTTCCTCTGGCCTGCCCCACCTCAAACACATTTTCTCTTGTATAGATACACACTCCTATCCTTTTATTTATTGTTTTGCATCTCAGTTAAATATTACATTTGCAGAGAACTAACAAAAGAAAGACCCTTTATTTTACTCACTCATAATACTTAGTAGTGTACTTCACTTTCACAACATTCAGTAGTATTTTTTAAAAATTAACTATATCCTACCTAGATTGTTTCATAGGGGTATGGTCATATTTAACTTTAGAAGTGTTGTAGTCATCAATACTGAGCTCAATAGTACCTGATGGACACAAACATTTGTTGGTGAAGAAAGGAAAATAGATAGAGATAGGGTGGGGAAGCAACAAAGAAGGGAGGAAAGGAAGAGAGAGAAAATGGAAGGGAGACAGAGAGACATAATTTTCTCAAGGAATGCAGTTAAAACCTTTAATCCTCATGATAAGGTAGCATATGGTTGTGAAAAAAGCATGTAGGTTATCAGTCAGTCTATGTTGTTTGAAGATCTGCTATTTTAGCTGTGGGTAAGTCACACCACTTTTGTAAGTTTCATTTTCCTTGTTGTAGAGTGGGAATAATGAAGTACTCACCTGTAAGTTTTTGTTGAGGATTCATTGTGAAAATATAAGAACCTGATAAACTCTCAAAAATGTCAACTCTTATGATTACTCATTTACCTGAGGATCAAAAAGAAAATACGGGCGTCCATTCTTCAACTGAATTGCAAAATACTCTTCCTGATTGCCAGGTGATGCCGCAAAGACAATCAAACCTTCAGGCACCCTTGTTCGAAAGCTAGCTTTAATACCTGGGGAGAAAAGTGCAATCAGCAAATCAGGGCTGGATTTTGTTGATTCTCTCTGGTAAGTGTACATTTACTTTCATTATTATTTATGATGTAAGGAGTGCCATCGGGGAATTATATACAACATTGCCCTGGGATGGTCCAGCCACTTGGTTTTAACTGTATCCCATTATGAATGCCAACCCATACTTGGAAACTCCAGCCTGCACTCCCACTAATCAATATATAATGAAGTTTAAATATGTGCAAAACTTATCAACATAAAAGATATGTTGTCAACCCAAAACTGGATACAAAAGGGATAAATGCACTAATATTATCAGAGTCATAAAAATAAATGGATTTTGATATGAGTGAGAGAAACACAAGGGGCTTTATTTAGAATATTTATAAAGAGTTAGTCCCATAGTAGAAGCTAAAAACTAGAAAGGTCTGCTATAAAGTGGTCCACAGAGCCACTTTTCCTGTCACTAAACGCTCAGCAGCCTTCAAATTCCAGGGGCTCCACCCACCCTTCAGATTACCTACCAGCACTGCTCAAGACACACAGTGCTCTTGGCTCTCAGAAATGGCCCCAGCTCAGGAAGCAGGGGAAATGTGATGGTTCTCTATGATGTCTTCCAACTACCAACAACTGGCCCGACCTCCACTCCATCAGGTGTCCCATCCATTCAACCCATACTATGGAGCTCTTCCTCCAAGTAAGATGTTTTGTCAATGAATTGAAACTGGCAAAGAAGCTTAAGAGGTTCAATTGTCCTCAAACAGCTTCAAGTTTAGTTGGAGATATAAAATGTATGTGTCTTAACAGACATATCAATATTTCATAGGAACATGGAATCTTAGGTATATGAATTAAGGTAAATTGCAGGAGATGGAAAGAGTGAACATTGACATTTTAGGAATCAGTGAACTAAAATGGGCTGGAATGTGTGAATTTAATTCAGATGACCATTATAGCTACCACTGTGGGCAAGAATTCCTGAGAAGAAATGAAGTAGCCCTCATAGTCAACAAAAGAGTCCAAAATGCAGTACCAGGGTGCCATCTCAAAAATGATAGAATGATCTCTGTTCATTTCCAAGTCAAACCATTCAGTTTCACAGTACCCAAGTCTATGCCCCAACCAGTAATGCTGAAGAAACTCAAGTTGAATGGTTCTATGAAGACCCACAAGACCTTCTAGAACTAACAGCAAATAAAGATGTCCTTTTCATCACAGGGGACTGGAAAGCAAAAGTAGAAAGTCAAGAGATATCTGGAGTAACAGGCAAGTTTGGTCATGGAGTACAAAATGAAGTAGGGTAAAGTCTAAGACTTTTACTAAGAGAATGCACTAGTCATAGCCAACACCCTCTTAAAACAGCACAAAAGATGACTCTACACATGGGCATCACCAGACGGTCAATACCAAAATCAGGTTGAATATATTCTTTGGCCCTGAGCACCCTGTCTCATGAATCGAGCCTGGACTGGCAATCTAGTTCACATATGGTAATATACATGTTTCAATGCTATTCTCTCAAGTCATCCCACCCTCGCCTTCTCCCACAGAGTCCAAAAGTCTGTTCTTTACGCCTGTGTCTCTTTTGCTGTCTCACAGTGAGATATGATAAGTGACATAGCCCTATTTACAAGATATCATTTGATTCAAAGGGATTAAGGAATATTTCAAAAAAAAACTTGAGCTTGTTTTCAGAGAATATGAAGGATTCTGGGAGATGTTGTCATAAAGGCCAGAGGCATGGAAAATATTCAGGAAAGCTGAATGTAGAGAAGGGAGCTAAGAGATGAATCTGGAAAAATAGTCAAGACCCCATTTCAGGCCATAGATAGACTATCTGGCTTAAGAAGTTTGCATAGAAGACAAAGATGGAAAGGAAGGTTGTGGTATATCTATCTTTAGTGAATTATTCCAACACCAACGAAGGCAAGTTGGGATGTGGACTTTAGACTTTCCAAAGAGGCAACTGAAACTTTTCCTGGCCTTCTTAGCTTCTGCAACTTTATCTTTTAGATTTCATGCTTTTGGCCCTTTTCAAACATGCCTGTTCTACTCATTGTGATGTTTCATTGCCACACACACTCTGAGTCTCTGCATCCCACCTTCTAGGATTTTACATTCTTGTTGTTAGACTTCTGATACCTCTCTCATTTCCCAGAAATAGAATGTTTGTCCCATCACATCATTTTTCAGCATTCACACTCACTTGAACCCCTCATATAAGCTTTATTACTCTCATCTCTCCTACTAAGTGGACTTAAATAGCTGGAATTTATCCTATGGACAAAGGGAGGTTTTAAAAATGGGTGGAGGAAGGGAAGAAGATGCTCAAAGTCAAGTTAAGGCAACCAAACTACAGTGGAATGTCTGGAGGATACAGATAATTTAACTACAGAGGAACTGGTTAGGTTATTACTGTGCTTTGGGGGAAATAACATGATAAGGATGTTAATTAAAGACTGACACATAACTAAATGGATTGAAAGAATGGAATCTATATATTTCAGAAGAGAATCATTAAGACAAGTTGTTATGAGGTGATGATAGGGGTAATGTGGTCAATCCTTTTCACCCATTACTGAGGGGGAAATAGCATTATTAACAGAAATAGAAAGGTCAGGAAAAGAAGAAAATGCAGAGTTGAGGATATAAACTCCATCTGGGGCACAGTGAATGTATATTAATGATGTATAAAAAACTATCCATCATTTGGAAATAAGAAAGTAAATCTCAGAAGAGAAAATGGAGCTAGGAAAATAAACTGGCAATCACCAGTCAAAAATTCATGTCTCTGGGGGAGCAAATGAAGAAGACATAAAAAGAACTGTTTGAAGAAATGCCCTAGTTTTAAGAGACAGAAAGAACAGGGACAATAATAAAGTTAGAATAATCAGGATAATGCCATAAAATGGAAACATAGGTAGGAGAGAAATTTAAGAAAGCAAAGTTAACTGTCACCTCCCATAAGTCCAGAATAATGAGAGCTGAAGAAAAGCTCCGAGAGGTGGTCGTTACTGTCTTTTTGAACTGAGTAGAATGACTAGAGTTCCAAAGGCTGGGTGATCAGGACTGATGGAAAGGATGAGTAGGAAGTGGACATAGAACTCTCACTAGAAAAATCTGGTAGCGAAAGGAACACAAGACCTAGAAACTAATAATTAGCATGGCCTAGTCAAACAAAAGGAGAAATCTGCCAGCAAAAGCTCAGACACAGCCAAAAGCTGGTGTACCTTCTGATCAGAGGAAAATCACATTTCTTTCAACTCTTTTTCTCTTAAGCGTCTCTTATTTTGGTTCAGAGTGGCTCTCTTCCACATTTAAGTGAACATTTAAAAAATTTATATGTTGTATCAAATGCTATAATTGAAACTATTGCTTTAAAATTAAACAACTGAAGGTTATTTCATAAAAATAGCTACAATTCAGAACATGAAGACAACAGAACTCTCTACCAGGGTGCTGGAGGCATCTATGGGGCAGTAAACAGGGAGCCAAAGTTAGGACTTGAGGGAAGAAATTGATACTTGCTCAGCCTGGAAATACAATTACTTGTCCCCAGTTGATGAGAAATTTAGTGAAAGAAATTTTGGATCAGAGTAAGAACTACAGAAATGGTATCAATTATTATCTAATATCAAGAATTTGTGTGTGTAAATGTGTGCATGTGTTTTTATGGACACAGAATTTAATTTCTAAGTTTTACACTTATATAACACAGAAATAGTATGGAAAATTTAGTCCAACTAAAACAGAATACACAAATCAAGGCATATTTCTTGTGAGAAGTGAGTATTTAGTAAAGGGTAACTTGATTTGCTATTGTATAGTCAACTTTCCTTTAACTTTTTCAAATCATATTATTTCTTTAAACTATAAAGATATATAATGAATGAGGGTTTTTTTTTTTTTGCAAGTACTCTATGAAGAAAAAAATATGCACACTTTCACTGAAACACATTTTTTACAATACTGTCATCAATAAATCCTATTTTTTGAATCAAATATCTTAAATCATATAATCAATTGTTAATATATGCTAATATAGCCCCAGCCATTGACTTTAGACTCAGCCATGTGATTTACTGTGGGTGAAGAAATGAAATCAGACACGTGGTACCATGTGAGAGAAGAAACTTTGAATATTATGTACTGTGTGATTGAACTTGACTCCTACTTTCTGCTGTGCCTCATGAATGTGCTTTTATCCTGGACTCACAAATAAGAAGATTTATAGGCCAAAGCAGAGTAGTACCAAAGTATTTTTCATTTTAAAGGTTTGTGTTAAAGAACAATGTTGATTAAAATGGGCAGAAAACTGAAAAATACACATTTATCACCTGCTAAAATTTAGATTTTTGTTAAAAGAAAACAGGAGACATTCTAAAATTCAATTTTTGTTTCAAGTATTTGGAGAAATGATCGAGCAGTTTTCTATATCAGTAGATAAATGTATTCATTCATCCAAGGGATATTTTTAGGAAAATATATTTTGTGCAGCCACCCTTCTAGGCTATTGGGATACAGAGATGGATAAAAGAGACATACATCCATAGCCTCACATTTAAAAAAATCTGAAAATCCAAGACCTGGATGGAAATATTTAGCTTTTATATAAATGAATTTGCAACTTTAAAAATTTAATCTTAAAAACAAGATGCAATGACAGGCCCATGGAATAGGCAAAGAGTTCTTGAATAATACATGGAAAATTATAGTAGAAAGGGAAATGGTGATCAATTTTATTAAGAACTTTTGTCTAAGAAAAGGCACAAATAAGAGAGCAAAAAGGTAACCAACATAACAGGGAAAGATACTTGCAATATATATTTCTGATAACAGATGCATAGCCAATAAAAATATATATAATTCCTACAAATCAATAAAATAATTGACTCATTATAAGAATTGGAGCAAATGACTCTTCAAAAAAGGTGACATCCAAATGACTAATAGATGTAAACACCTAAGATGATGTTCAAAGAGAAAAAAATTTTAATTCAGTGATATTGCCATATGGTCTTTCAAAACAAGTAATTATTTAAAACACTTTTCATAGTTTCAATGAT